TTTGGGCCTTGAACCCGCCCCCTTTATGGGATGCCTGCCACCACAGATGGGCAGCTTTTACTTCCTATGCCACCCCGGCGGCTGCAGGAAGATCCTTTTTAAATTTTTTATTTTATTTTTAATTTATTTTAAAAGGGCCAGGGAGGAGGGAGGGAGGGGAGATGGGGGAGAGAGAAGAATGAGGGGAGAAAAAGGGAAAGGGAGCAAGGAGAGGGGAAAGGAGAGAGGGAAAGGGGAGAGATAGAGAGATCTTACATCTGTTAGTTCACTCCCTAAATGCTTACAACAGCCAGGGCTGGGCCAGGCTGAAGCCAGGGGCCAGGAACTCAGTCTGGGCCTCCCACATGGATAGCAGGAACATGATAAAAAGCCAGGATGATTTCAGTACATTTTATCCTTTATGAGAGTTTTCACAGGAAGCCAAATTACACTCAAAAGGCTGCCTAGAGAGCAAAAAAAAAAAATCTATCTAAGGGAAATTATTGATTGGTCTCAGTTCTAAGTTGCTACATTCAAGTCTACCCTTCTAGTAGACTTAGAAAGGAGATAGACAAACACACACACACACACACACACAGAAACAGAGAGAGAGCGAGCGCCACAACGCATTATGTCCAAGAGTGATCGGAGCCGCCTCTTTTCTGGAAAGCCTGGAGTCATGAATGCAGATCCTTCCAACTTGGAACCATCTTTCCTAGAATCCATGAAAGCTTTATCAAATATGCCTTTCCAAACCGTATCCAGGTTACTTTGCAAGCATTGAAGGCATTGCAAAACAGCTTTCACGTTAGGTTGCTTCTACGGCATCTTATGTCTACCTCATATGTATCGCGACATTATCCGAGCAATGGATTGGGTTGAGATGGGCACTTCCTGGAGAGCAGTCAAGAGGCCACTTCAGCGGTTGAGGAAAGGGATTAGTGATTAAGATGAAACTGTGGCTGTGAAGATGGAGGAAAATACACGGTGTCGCGGGAAAGGATGCTGATGATGTCAATGACTTAGACAATGCTGTTGGCCACAGGGAAGAAAGATGGACTCAATAGAGTTTCCAGGAAGGGCAGACAAGACTGGATAGAGGTGGAAGGAAAAGGAAGAGTCAAGATGATTCAAGGGTGAAGCCTAGTTTTAAGCTTGAAAATTTTGGTG